GGTGCTCCTGGAGGGCTTGGTGCCGCCGGAGCCGCTGTGCCTGCTCAGCCCTCTCCTGCCTCCCCTGCCCGCCTGTCCCGTTGGCCACCTGTGGGGAGGAGCCCCCACGGGCTTCCCTCACATCTAGGAGCTGTGGCAGCCCAGGGGAGGCCAAGACCGGGCTGGGCCCTGATGCCTGCCCACCCGCAGGCTATGCTGGCTTTGTCCCCCGGTTCACCTGGGTGATGGGGCTCAACCACCGAGACGGCATCATGCAGGCCATGGACGAGTTCGACAAGGACCAGGTAGCGCTCCCCCCCGCCCGCTCCCGGGCATCCACTCCTGCCGGCCGGCTTCCCTGGGAGAGGCCGTGAAGGCCAAGACCCCTAGCAGGCAGCTCTGCTTGGCCCAAGGGCCTGCCCCCAGCAGTGCCAGCCCACTGCCCCATTTGTCTCCTCCTGACAAGGTCTTGGCTCTGAGCTCTGGAACTCTGGAGTGGGCCAGGCTGGGTTGCTCATGCTTGGAAATCCAGTGCTCTGGGAGGCCTTGGCGAGAGGACCACTTGAGGCCGGAAGTTCTGAGACCAGGCCGGGTAATGGGGAGACCTCGGCTTTGCAAAAAAAGATTTAAAAGCTAGCCAGATGCACCTGACGGGAGGCTGAGGTGGGAGGATCGCCTGAGCCCAGGTCAAAGCTCACTGAACTCTGCCACTGCACTCCAGCCTGGGCGACAGAGACCATCTCAAAAAAACAGTTGTGGAGTGGGTGGGGTGAGACAGGAGGCTAGTGCGCAGGTTGCTCTCAGGAAAAGGCCAGCTCTCCAGCGCAGCCACACTGGTTGCCGGCTGGGGAGGCAGCGCTGGTCAGCACCCGCCCGTCTCCCCAGTTCCTGTTCAGAAATCCCGTCTGCGCACTGGGTGAGAGGCTGCCCCGGACGCACTGGCCGGCCACCAGCATCTATAGCAGCCGGGGCCTGACCCCCTTCTACATGGGCTTCATCCCATGTGAGTGCGAGGGGGCTGGAGACCCGCCCG